TTCAGTTTCCAGATCCATCACCAGAGTCAGTATCAAGCTCTCCATTCAACAGATCACTAAGATATTCATCCACATCACACAAGGGATTATATTTCTTTTTTCCCCTCTCTCTCTCCAATCCAGAGGGCTGAGGTTTGGCCAAACTTAAAAGCATGCTGCTAACACCTGACATACTGTAATATATAAATGGCATTTATTCATCAAGAAGTTCAAATTATGGAATGCAGTGTTCAGTAGTGTCATATGTTTGACATATGACCAGAGAAATGTGAAAGAAACTTTGTCGATCATATATCGTCATTCGTCCATGGAAGCACTGCCGCCATGCCATTTATATATCGGCATATTATCAGAAAGTGTTAAAGAAACAGACATTGATCATCTAAACTGGATTCATCTAACTCAGCACAGACTCCATTGATAGGCTCTTATGAACATGGTAGTGAAACTCAGATTTTGTAAAAAAAATTAGCAATTTCTTCACTGAGTGAGTGACTGGAGGAAGAATCTGAAGGAGAGCTGTGCATCTAGGAGCGTCTTTTACTTATTCTTGGCCATTCATGTTTAACCTACATTTCCTTAAAATTGTAATTCAAATCAGTGTAGTTCTTTCTCATTTTGTGAGAGTGCCAAATTTCAGACCGATGAAGTTAGCTCTAGGGGTAATGCTTCTGACTTATATTCAGGCGAAGCCCAGTTCAAATCTTGCCCAGGGCATTATCTGTCAAGAATGAAGTGGGGTTTGTTTTGTTGTCCCCCCCCCCTCAGCCACTCCAGGGAAATTATGGGATGAATGTATAAGGGGTAGGCCTTCTCGGCCCTTGCGCCGGGACCTACAGTGGTCTATATAGTATATTAAAATCATGTGACAACTGCTTCCAAATCTTTTCCGGTTCATGCATTCACTGTGATCCAGTCACCTGACACAGTATATTAAAATCATGTGACAACTGCTTCCAAATCTTTTCCTCTTCATGCATTCACTGTGATCCAGTCACCTGACACAGTAGTCTGAGTATTGACAGTGTTGTTAAATACACTAAATAAATAAAACTTTCTACCATAAATTGGCATTGGGATAGCCTTTTCTTGTATAGTCCTAACTGCGTTTCCATTCTCATAATATTCTGTTTACTGTGCTACATATGTAGTAATATTGAGTATCTTTATTGTTTGTATCCTGTTCTGTATTACTATATAGTATGATTATACGACCATAAACT